GGCTAGCTCTGTTCTGTGCAGAGCAAGTATTCAGGAGACACTCAATAAATGCATGACTGGAGCACAGAGGGGAACAACCCCGTTTCACTGGAGTTGGCCATTGGAGTAGGGGAGTCGGGGCTTGGGGCCAGATTATACTGCCTCTCTTTCTGCTCCGGGCCCTACTATTTAACTTTTTAAAAAGTCCTAAGGAGATTTACTCTTCCCTGGGGATCTTTCAGGACCAAAGGAAACCTTGGTATATTTTGGCTGCTTTAAGTCAGGACTGTTGAGAGGCAGAAGAATGACTAAGATGACCTGGCCTTGTAGACTTCGGAGTAAAGATGCTAGGTGAGGGCTTGGAAATTAGGTATGAGGACCTAATTTATCCACAAACAGTGGGGGCTGTCGGTGTGGGATGGAGCATCCTTCCCCCACCCTCCACCCCACCAGCTGTCACATTCACCAGTAGTTCCTGTCTCTGTGCCAGGAGCGGAGCCTCAGAGCCGCAGCTGGGAGAAGAGCCGGGTGGTGGGGTCATTGACACTGCTGGCAGAGGCCTAGCCTGGCTCCTGTTTCTGAAGGGTTGCAGCCTCCCCTCTGGGATCCCAGGCTGGTCGGGACCATGGGGTAGTGGGGGCTCTGCATTCCTTTGGGCCCTGGTTCTCTGATGGAGGTAGGGAGGGGGGCGTCATGAAGGTGGGTGGGCTGGTGCAGGGCTTTGCAGGGATCTGAGGTGGAGCTGAAAGATTAGGGTGTAGAGTCTCGACCTAGGAGCTGGAGCAGGTTTGAGGTCAAGAGAACGTTTGGGCTTGCTTCCAAAACCATTGCCTAGCGCTTCCTCAAGCAGGAAATGCTTCGGCATCCAAGGATCAGGCTGGGGACCTGCGAGAACTACACATCCCAGCGTGCAGTGTGGCTTGCCATGGAGAGAGTGGGAAGGCACGAGGTCCAATGCTGGAAGCCCTCTTCTCGACCCTTCTGCAGCTGCAGCAGCTGTGCTTGGCGTCAGACCATTGGGGGAGGGCAGGGCCTTGTCAAGCTGGAGGAGAACAGAATCCTCCCAGAGGCACGGCTGCAGCTGTGCTCTCGGACTCACCAACACACTCGCATTTGCCTGCTAGAAGGGCACGCTCGCCCAAAGCACAGCCGCAGGCTCCTGTTTGCACACTTGGTCCTGTTTACACGCTCAGAGACATGCACACTGTCAGGCTAACGTATCCCCTTCCAGAGGGACGCTGTCCTTGAAAGGCCTAACACCTTGGTCTGAAGAACTCCCGGCCGGGTGGACAGACCCTGTTACCTTCCCCTCCAGTGAGTAACAGATGGGTCCTGAGGGTTTACTGGGAAATGGGAATTGGGTCAGACACCCTATGTCCCAGTGGCCTGCCTGCCCTGCTTCTGGGGGTTCTGGGGGTTGTGGGAGGCTGAGTCCCAGCCAGAGAGGCCTGGATGCCTTTCTCTTGACACCCACAGCCCCAGAGATAGATGCTGCCTCATTTGGCCTCTTTAGTCTAGTCAAGGCCAACCCCTGGGCCACCCCTCCCTCACAGGAAGAAGGGCGGGAACTCCACTGGTTTGTTTTGTGACCTGGGTCAAACGGCTCAGCAGTACAAAGGCTGCCGAAATGGGTTTTTTGGAGGGCCCTGGGCACCTTGGAAGTATATACACAAATTCCATTATGTTTGTCTCCCCCTTTTTCTCATCCCCACAGCCTGGGCCTGGATCACTTGCTATGACAGCCTCTACCTGGTCTCTCGGTGCCTGGCTGGGCCCTTTTTACCCACACAGCCTCAAGATCACCCTTCTTGGCTAAAAACCCTTCAGAGGCTCCACTTTGCCCACAGAACAAAGGCCTTATGTGGCTGCCCACTTGGCTCCAGCCACTTTCCTTCCATGTGGTACCCTGCCTGGAAACCCCAAACTTCCATTCTCGCCCACTCACTCATCTTGGTACTCAGGTGCCTCCTCCTCCAAAGTTGGCCTGGGTTCTCTCATCCAGAGCAAAGCCCACCGCTCCCACCCTGCCCTGTATTAGTGCTGGCTCAGGAGGCTGAGAACTCGGCCCCTGGTGCCCATCTGTACCACCTGTGTGGTGCTTCGGAACTTGCCCAGGATCTGGGGCCCAGAGAGGCCAGAGCCAAAGCGCGTCTACGCAGTAGTGCAGGCGGCCCTGCACACTGTGCCTGCTCACCTATGTCTGTTTCTTCAGTGAGCGCCCGCTACACACCTCCTCTGCCCCTGCCCCAGCTGCTCTTCATTTCCCTCTTCAGATAAGCCCAGGGCAAAGCTATTACCCGAACGGGTGGCCAGAATGAAAAATTAAATTTCCACTTATCCTTCTCACTCATGCATTCCCTGCGGATGAAGGGGACTTGGCGCTCAGGACATGGCTGTGCCCCGTGGGGTGGGCCCCCCAGAGAACGTGGCAGGCACTAGCCCATGTGGGATGAAGGTTTGTGAGCTTGGCTGCTGCTAGGAAATTGCCCGTAAGCACAAGAACAAACAGTCCTAAAGAGGACTTGGCTGGCTGAGTCCTCCTGGGACCCTCCCTTGGGAGGGCAACTAACAACTCCGGGCTCATCAATGAGTCAGCGAGCACTAGGATTCTTTGGTTCCTGCCTAGCTGGGCTGTCAACAGAGTCACCCTAATAAAAGGCCCTTCTAACCACCCAGAGTATGTGTGTCTGATTACCACCCCACCCCACCCTGTGCCTTCCAGGAGCCCAGGAAGGCATTTGTACCCCTCTCCCAGCTTGAGCCCTGGGCGGCCCCTGGGCCATCTGCTCTCCTACTCACACCACCATCATGATGTCCGCCGCAGGCACAACAGCACGTACCACCACCTACCCCTGACCACAGGCACCACAGAGGGTACCATTACAGCAGTGCTTCCAAGGAGACAGCCCTCCCCACAGCTGGCTTCTTTTCCTCCTTCTGCTCTCTTCTTTGTCACCGGGGCCTGGGAAGTGCCCCTTCCCTTCCTCCTTCCTGGATCTGGTGTGACTCCCTGATGAGCAGCCCTGCACTCACCATTGTCCTGTATCCTCCTAATCTTTGGGGGAAGGGAGACCCTGGATCTCCTGCCGCAGCCCTGCCTCTGGGGCTGGGCAGCACCACTTAGCTCCATAAGCCTGGCAGGGCCTGTGGCCGACCTCTCATGCTGGGAGTCGGATCAACAGGAGAAAGTTGCTCTTGGGTTTCTAGGCCTCCTCTCCGATTTCCCAATCAGGAGTTCCCTGGAGAGCTTGGGTGACAGAGAGGGATGTGGTGGTAGTGTTGGTCATCCATTAGGCAGTGAATAGGTATTTTGCATGTGTATCTCCTTGCATGATCACAAGAAGCCTGAGATAAGTATAATTATCTGCAGATTACAGATTAGGAAGCTGAGGCTCAGAGAGGTGAAGGACTTGCTCAAGGCCACACAGCTAGGACAAGCCGATCAGGCCAAGTCTCTGCCGGCCCTGTTGTGACACTGCCTCCCTGCGGGGTGATCACACTTTCTTACGACTTCTGCTAATGCAGCTACAGCACTCTGCCCTCCTCACCTGCATCTGCCCACTGGCCCCAGTGTCAGAGCTCAGGCCGCTATCAGACTCTTGCTGAGCTTTGCTCAGACTTTCTTCAGGAAGGGAGAAGTGTGGATTCTACCCCCCAACCACCGCTTGCCAACCTGTGGGAACCCTCCGCCTGGGGGAGGGGCTGCTCAGTTTTTCCCAGGCCCCAAGCCTGGCACTGCCACTCCTTTAAATAGTCCTAGAGCCAAGGGCAGCAAGTGACTCCCCCCAGCCCAGGTGACAGAGGTGACAGAGTGGCGCTGAGGACAGACAGGTCCAGCCCCTGGATAGCTTTGGGCTGCTGTCTCTGCAGCTCTGCCTTGAATGTACTCATAAACGAGACACAGGTTCAGTACTAATGAATCCCCAAGGCTCACCCAAGCCCTGATGGAGTCTGGTAACCACCATCCAAGTTCCTGTACTCCTGAGCCTGGCCCAGCACCTCCCTGAGGGCAGCCCCTGTGCATTACACGAACCCTCCGATGTTACTTCCTGTCCTCAGCAGCAGCACGACGTCACTTCCTGTTCTCGGAGGCTCTTTCTGTAACTTTCTCACTCTGCAACTCACTCAGTGTTACAATGCTAAAGACACTCCCTCTTCTGGTTGTGAAGTTGTGATGGCAGTTACCCCTCTATTGACTTGTTTTGATCCTTCTATTAGTAGCAGTGATAATGATAGAGGTCATGATCATAACAACGGAGCATTGGCCATTTATTGACAGGCAGATATGTGCTAGGTACGTGACCTACATTATGTATAATTCTGACAACCCTTCCAGACAGGTCATATTATGCCTGTTTTATAGAAGAGGGCTTGTGCAGGGTCACCTGTGTCTGACACTGAAGCCCATGCTCCTTTCACATGCCATGTGAATCTCTTCCTGGAACATCCTAGCCCTTGTTCTCCCTATGCCTTGAGAGCAGGTGATGGCACTTCCTTATCCACGTTGACTGAGAGAAAGATGCAGGGAAAACAGCAGTTCAGTCACAGGGCAGTCAGAGTCACCATGGGTTTGGGCTTTGTCCTTGCTTTCCCCTCAGCATACCTGCTTGAGGTAAGCCTCACCGTCCGGGTTCCTGAACTCTTGGTGGAGAGCTTAGAGGAAAGGGGCTCCCCGTGCAAACCCACACCTACCAAGCCGGCATACATGGTGCTTTCTGTTGGCAGATCATGGCTAGGTTCCACCCCCCAAACAGCACTGCCATACACAGCAACGACTTCCTCCCTTCCTTCTGACTGGGGGGCACCCTGACTGTCTGGCTCATACCTTAAACACACAGAACCTTAAAGGGAGAAAAGAGAAAAGCAACACAAGGCCTGCCAACAGCCAGCACTCAAGGGAGAAACAGAGAAGCAGGGAGAGGAGAAACAAACTTCCTGCAACAATGCTACCCGAAGGGAGGGGCCCAGGCAGTGGAGGAACCAGTGGGTGGGAAGAGGTAGGGAAGGATGCAGCTTCCTACCTGTGATATTGACCTCCACCTGGCCTGAGCGTGTGCCAATGGGGTTGGTGGCCTCGCAGATGTAGGTCCCTGCCAGGCTATAGTTGATGGGCCCTCTGAAGAAGAGGGTTCTGTTCTGGGCCTCCACGCCCCTGGGGAGAGAGCCATTCAGCCTGCAGGGATCAGGGGACACAGCACAGGGTTATTGCCTTGGCCCTTCTACCTGGGCGTGGCTCCCAGGATCAGCGCACCCACCTCCCTCAGGGGAATCGCCATCCTCTCCAGCCCTAGGAAGCCTCCCCTGTGTCACCCACTTGGCTCCAAGCCCACCAGCCCTTGCTGAGGTCATCAGTAGGGTCTTTCTTGGAAGGAGAAAAGGCAATAACAAATACAATAATAATCTCTTGCATGTGGCAGTTTTAGATTATTCAGTGTTTTCACATTTGGTCATCATAACACAAATATATGCAGGACAGGTAGGGACTGGTCCCACTTAACAGATGAGGAAGCTGAGATTCAAGGCCAAGGAAACACAGCTAGCAAGTGGCAGAACAAGCTTTAGCCAGATGACTGGACTCCTGGCTCAGTGTTTTCTACCACTCATGCTTCCTGGTTGTTGGTCCTTGGACTGGTGCTGGGCTAGCTGCATAAGAATCTCCTCTGTAGCTGGTTAAAAATACAGATGCCTGGGTCCTAACAACAGAGCTACTGAACCAGAACCTTCAGGTCAAGGGCTGGGAATCTGTATTTTAACAAGGTACTTGGGCAACTGAATGTGTTTTGTAATGGTTATGTTCCACCTCACTATCTGGGTTTTTGCTGGGGCTATTGTAGACTTTTTCACCTGGGGAGTGTGCTGGGAGTTTCCTGAGGACAGGACCTTCTTCCTTCCTCCTGCTCCCCAGTCCGCAAAGCTATTATACTGCTTGATGAGCAGCCTCTTGGACCACAGTGCTGAAACTGGCAAGCAGGCCCTGCCCACTGCACCTTTGGAAGCAGATTTGGTCCAGGAAGTAGAACATAATAGGCAGGGTGGGCTAGTGCCCTCTAAACCAAACCAAACCCATTGCTGTTGAGTCAATTCCAACTCATAGCGAACCTATAGCGACTCTTCCTAGAAAAAGAGTGTAGGCTCATCCTAGGCAGCCGCTTTCTGGCCACCATGGCAACCTTCTTCTTGGCTTCCCCCAAGCCCCCATGTCCTGTGTGTTCCCCCCAACTCTTCTTTGGGAAGAACTTGGCCCAGGCCATCAGAGCTGGCTGGAGGGGAGACAGGACCCTCTGAAGGCCAGGCCCAGAGACATGAAGCCAAGGGTAGGCTGACGGGAGGTGGGGAGAGCACTTCACGAGCGCCAACATCTGGGCTGATTGCTGCCACCCCCCCCGAGAATCTAGGGGTGCTGAAGAGAATAGGAACAAAGAGAGATCTGGGATGCTCCAGAAAACCAGCTTCCCTGGGGACACCTCGATAAAAATAAATACTGGGGGCTGGGGTGGGAGTGACTCAGGCTGAATCACCAAGGGAAAGGATACAATTCTTTATTAGGGAGAGGAAGAGTGGCAGATCACGAGGGAGCCCCCTCTGGCATCCACCGACCCTGATATGTCAGACACGGGGGTGTGGGTAGTGGGTCTCGCATGCCCACTGACCTCCTCACAGAGAAATGTGGACTCAGAGCCTGTCTAGGGCTCCTGAGCTGGGTGGGTGGGCCTCCCTGTGACCTGTAAGGCACTCACGTGGTCCAGTGGTACTCGGTGGCTGGGGGGTTGGCATCTGCTCTGCATGTGAGCTTCACGTCCATCCGCTGCAGGTACCAGTTCCCATCAAACCCCTCAATGGTCACCTCTGGCTCGTCTGTGGGGCAAGGGATGATGATGTTTGAAGACGGTGAGAACAGGACTTAGAGAGAGGGGAACTCTGAGGAGGGAGGGATGGAAGGAAGCAGGGACATGGAAACAATCAGGAAGACAGGGAAGAGTGAGAGGGAGGGGGAGGTAACAGAAGCTTAGAGCAGAAGTGAGAATGAGAAAGGAGGACAGAAAGAACGAGAAAAGGGAGGAGATGGGGGAAGAGCACAGGGGAGTTCCAGGGAAGAAGAGTAGAAAGGAGCGGGGGAGACAGGGGCAGAGAAGAAAGGGAGAAGGAAGGAGAGAGTAACAGGAGAGGAGAGGCGAAGGAGGAGGGAAAGAATGACAAGGGTAGGTGGTGAGGAGAGAGGCACTTGGTGGGAAGGGATGGGGGCACCCGCCCAGAGGCCCACCCAGCTGGTTCCTTGCCCGCTCACACTGCACATTGAGAGTGAGGCTCTCCCTGAAGCGGTCCATGTGGTAGTTGACAATGCAGGCCAGTGACTGCTGATGGGCTTCCCGGCTGGGCACCAGGCGGTAACGACTGATGACGGTCACTGTGCCATTGGGGTTCCGGATCTCCTGGTACTCAGCCTCGCCCTTTAGCCGCGTTTCCCAGGTCACCACACTGGGAGGCTTCCCATTGGCCGAGGTGCAGGTGGCCACTAGGACCTTGTGCTCCTGTCCCTTCTTGGCTCGAAGCACTGCCTGGGTGCCCTCAATCCAGTTGGTGGGTTTGGCTGTGGGGAACCAGAGAGAGCCATGGGACCAGCTCTACTAACTCATCAAAGATGCACAGGCTACCTAGGCCTTCCCTGTCTCTCAGCTGTGCTTCACCAAAGCCTCCTTCCAGAAATTCTCACAGGGAATTCTTCATGTCTAACCTGTCCTTCCTGCTCTACTGTTTGTATCCTCTTTAGTCAAACAAGTCTTCTTGGAGTCTTGGCATGCTCACGTGATCATCTGCTGCGGCTCCTTTCCTTATGTGGTGTCTGATGCCTCTGCCTGCTCCCTGTTTACCCACAAAGTGCCCTGTGCATGGAGGGCTACAACCTGAATACTGGTCCTCAGCTCTGTCCAGATCCCACCGCCTAGTGAACTGTGACTAGAAGGGACCAGACGCGTGATGCCTGGAGCTATGGAACCATGCCTACATAAGGAGAATGTTTGGGGCCAGCAAGGCACATACTGAGATGGCCAAGCCTCCCCATCGCTAGAGAACAGGATGGACTCTTGTGTGGGCTGCTGGTTCAAGGGCCCATCCTAGGGGGTTCAGGCCAGCTTACCCATGACAGTGAGATTGAGCTGGCTCTCACGATTGCCCTTCGGGAAGGTGGCAAACTCGCAGATGTAGACACCCTCGTCCTCCAGCTCCAGGCGGGAGAGGCGGATGGTGCCATCAGTGAAAGAGGGCTGCAGGAACTCCACGCGTTTTTGGTAGGGAGGCAGCACAGAGATACCCAAGGCTGGATTGTAGATGGCCACGTTCTGCTTGGAGCCATTAGTGGCCTTCTGCCATGTGACCTGGGTGATCTTCACACTGGGCAGTGGGTTGGCAAAGCTGCAGTGCAGGACCACGTTGGTGCCGATGAAGCCGTACATGGAGTCATTCACCTGGACCACCTGGGTGTGTGCACCTGGATGGGGAGACAGGAGGAGGCGGTCAGCACAGGCATAGTTCCCACCCCCTCCAGCTTCCTGTGCTCTTGTCTTTTCTTTTACAGCAGTCATTATTCTTTTTATTCTGCTTATAAAAATAATAATTGCTTGTTGTAAGAAATATAGACACTCTGGGCAATACTGAAAAATACTGAGAGGAAATGACAACAATCCATGATCCTACCACTCAGAAATAGTGCTGATATTCTTGTAGGCTCTATCCTTTTTTTGCTCTCTGTGTATCTATATAACCATCCCACCACTCATCTGTCGGTTTGTCAGTAGCTTCTATGTTTCTATGATGATGAAAGCCCTGCCGCTGGTATTTCAAATACCAGCAGGGTCACCTATGGTGGACAGGTTTCAATGGAGCTTCCAGACTAAGACAAACTAGGAAGAAATGCCTTGCACTCTACTTCTGAAAATCAACCAATGAAAACCCTGTGGATTACAACAGAATATTGTCTGATACAGCACTGGAAGATGAGCCCCTGGGTTGGAAGGCACTACATAATAGCTGCAAGAATGGACTTGAGAATACCAATGATCATGAAGCTGGTGCAGGAATGGGCAATGTTTAGTTCTATTGTACATAAAGTTGTCATGACTTGGAGCTGACTCAGTGGCAACTAATGACGAAAACATATAACCATCTAGTTTTTGTTTTTTTTTAACAAAATCAGAATCATACTATGTATACAGTTCCATAAGCTGCTTCTTTGTTGGTGCTATATTATAAATGTCTCTCCATGTCAGTAAATACACATCCACGATCTCATTTTTAACGAGGAGGGTTGAACACACTGCTTTTCAAGTAGAGCTCAGCCTAGGGGTTGGGGCTTGTTTTACCTCTCTGGGCCTCAGTGCCCTCATCTTATAAATGGGGCAGATAGTCAGTCCTCTCTGCCTCACAGGGTTGCTAGGGGAACCAAAAGGCCTAATGGATGAGAAAGTACATCAGGAGTCAGGAAGCTCTGGGTGCGTGTGCGGGTCCTCAGTTATTATGGCCACCCCACTGTCTTCCCCCGACCCTTGGGGGAGCATGGGCTTGGCCCCTCTTACCCAGCCAGGCAGGGAGGAGGTGCTACACAAGGTTTGGCCTTCACAGACTCCCCGGCTGCCTTCACAATCAAGTCTAAACGCCTTAAATTGACGTTCTCGCCCGTCGGACTCTGCCTTTTTGTCCACATCTCCCCATACACCCTGTTTTCCAACCATGTCAGCCTATCCTAAGGGGAACTTCTCATGTTTCTGTGTTTCCTTCCTTGGTCCACCCCCTTCCCACTTATTTAACCACCATTTTCTGAGTGACTGTATTCCAGGATCTATTCTAGGCACTTGGGTCAGATCAATGAACAATTCAGTCCTGGCCCCCAAGGAGCACAGAGCCTATTGGGGTAGCACTTCTGGGTTCTTGCTGTTCCTTGAGCCTAGAAGGCTCCCTGCCTACCTGTGGACATTCCACTCAGAAATACCTCCTTCCGGAAGCTTCCCAAATCCCCCCAGCCACCTCTATTACCTCCCACCCAGCCACCTCTATTACCTCCCACCCAGCCACCTCTATTATGGCTCTTTTCTGCCTTGGATGTGGTTGTTTTACAGGTCTGACTTCCCTATCAGGGCAAAGTCTGTGTCTTTTCCATCTCTGTAGCCCCAATGCCCAGCACAACATCTAGCACACAATAGGTGTTCAGTAAATATTTGCTGCCAGACAAATTGCAATGGAAAAGCCAAGAGAGTATTTGCAAGAAGGAGGAAGTGGTCAGTGGCATTGAATGAATGCATGAATTCCCTCCAGTCTCCCCATCAACTGTCTTATCCCATCTAGCATGTCTTTTGTTTGAGCTCCCAAGGCCCTGGGCTTCCTGAACTTTCCTGGACCTGGATCAGCTCCCTAGCTTGAGGCAGCTGCCCTAGTAGTAGGCTCTGCCTTCCAGCGCAGTCCTCCAGCTCTGTACTGGTGAGCTCACCCCAGAGCTCTGGGAGATCCCTGCAAGCCGTGTCCTTGGCCACACATTTGCACACTGCATGTCCCTGCATCCTGACTTCACTCACTTAGTTTATCGAGCACCACCAATCATATCAATACTTCCAGGCCCTGTACTGACCCAGAGGGAAGGGAAGGGCCTAAATGGCCCCCAAAGGGACTCTGGGATTCAAAAGTGGGACTTGGGCTCACACTCATCTCCTCTACATGATGGAGGCCCGGGAGCAGGGCAGGTTGCTCAGAAGACTCCAAAGCCTGAGGTCAGCGAGTCCCCCAGGAGGGCACAGGCCTAGTCTGTTCTGGTCACTGTGGTAGCCCCTGTGCCCAGCACACAGTAGGAACTCAATGCTTGCTGAATAAATACATCTTTGCCCCCATTGAGCCAGTCCCTGTCTATGCTCTGAAAGCTTCCCACCTTTTCTACACCTGTTCACATCAACACAGACTTCAAGCTGGCCAGGGCTCCATCTGACATCTCCATGTGCAGAGTGCTGCTGGGCTCGGAGGGGTACAGTGGAAGGAGCCCCTGCTGGAAGTCAGGAGAGCTGGGTTCTGGCCTGGCTCCATTTTAGCTTGCCCAACCCCAAGGAAGGGACCCTGGACAGTCACTTCCCCTTTCTGAGCCCCATTCTCCTCATCTGTCAAATGAGTAGGCTGGACGTCCCAATCTTAATGGGCCCTTCTGGCCCTAACTGTCCGAGTTCCTGACTGAAGCCCAGCCCACTTGGGCCCCGCCCCAGACATAGTCCCACGGTGAGGTCAGTGGACCAGAGAGCCCAGCACTCTTGCTGACTGGCCAGTGGTGAGCAGCTAACCCGAGGTCCTCCCCGGCAGGGTAAGTGGGTGCTCTCGGCCCCTCCCCAAACCTGCTGGAGGCTGCCCGGGGCTGAGATAATGTGGGCATAATCGGGGAACTTTCAACACACAAAGCCAGGAACAGGAAAAGCCAGTTGGGAGGGCTTGGGCCACAGGTGAGAGCAGGGTGGGGAAGGGTGTGGGTTCCTAGGAGCCATTTGGGATTGGTGCCAGGGCATGGTGGGCCTGCAGTAGGACATGGCCCACCAAGCCCACCAGGACCCTGTCTCTTCCCTCATTCCCTTGCAGGTATGGGGACAGGCAGGGCTCAGCACCTGGCTTACAGACAGATATTCATTCTCTGCATCTTCAGCAGTGACCTCATCCTCAGAGCGCCAATGCCAGGAGGGGAGATTGCTGATAGCAGCCGGGTGTGGGGTGGGAGGGTGCTTTTCCCACCTGCAAGGGCTGAGGCACCCCAAAGGCCCCCCCATCTATCAGTCCTCACCCAGGGGGTGGCTCCTACCCACCCGCGTCTGCTTTAAGGTTGAGGCTGCTCTTCTCTCCTGGGTGACTTCCTCATGTCCTCCCAGAAGCGACCCCACAGCGGCAGTGAGGAAAGTGGCTGGTGCCCCCTCTCACTTTGCACAAAGCTGGTGCCCCCTGGCTCCTACCCTTCTGCCCCAGTGATGGGCACAGCAGACGGAGCAGGGAGGACCTGTAAGCATAGGCCTGGACTCACTCCTGCTGTTTTCCTCTGCTCACAGCTGACTGTGTTAGCAGGGCCAGGGGAGGTGGGCCTGGGGGTGGGCATAGGGAGCTCCTGGAGTATGAGATTTGGCGCCCTTGAGTTTGGGGATCCCAGAATTCTGGAGCTTGGGAGGGTCTGGGAATACTGGCAGGGCCTGAAGACCCACTCCACCCCCACTTCCAGGGCTAGGGTCCCAGAACCCAGGCTTCTGGCCTGGTCTGGATGCAGAGTGGGGAGACTGTCCCTAGTTCTTTGGAGGGTAAATTAAGAGGCTTTCAGAGGGGACTGGGGGTGCGGGGTGGGGGTAGGAACCCAGAAACAGGGCCCTCCTTGGTGTAGGAAGAGATAGAGTGTGTACCCTTCTTGTAAGCCTTCATCGGGAAGGCCTGGCAGAAGGAGCAGGATAGACGGAGGTCTGCTCCAGGGGCAGGCAGCAGACTACACAGCTCCTCTGCACAGTCCCTCTCCATCAACCACTTCTGCCCTGACAACCCCTAGACTGGCATTTGTGCCTCCCCCACATTGCTTGAGCTCCTCTCACCCTCTAAGGTGCCATCACCACCTGCTTCACGCAGCATAGTGCGGTTGTTAAGAGCTAGACAGTGTGGCTTTGCATTCTGCCTCTGCCCTTAGTAGCTAATGACTTAAACTTTTTGTGCCTCAGTTTGTACATCTGTAAGATAGGCATAGTAATACTTATCCCATAAAATTTTTTAAGGACTAAATGAGTGCATACATGTGAAACGTGGAGAACAGCATTTAACATAAATTAAATGCTCAGTAAATGTTAGTGGTCATCATCATCATCATCATCTTTCATCCAAGAAACAGTGGGCCTCCCTTCCTGGAACTTCATTCAGCAATTATTTACTGAGCACCTACCATGTACTAGGGGTCCCTGGGTCATGCAAATGGTTAAGGGCTCAGTTGCTAACTGAAAGGTTGGAGGTTCAAATCCACCCAGAGGCTCCTTGGAAGAAAAGCCTGGAGATCTACCTTTGAAAAAATCAGTCATTGAAAACCCCATGGAGCACACAGTTCTACTCTGATACACATGGGGTCACAATGAGTCGGAAAACGACTCGATAGCAGCTGATTTTTTGTTGTCGTTGTTACCAGGTACTGGGAGTTACTATGTCCCCCTCTTCCAGGAAGCCCTTCTTGACTCTCATTCCTTCCTACTCAGCCGATACTTCTTATACCCCAGCCTCGACAGCATCTAACATTAATCTGTACCCTTCTATTTTCTGTTTCCTGGCCTGTGTGTCTGGTCTGTTTCCAGCTGACCATGCCCTCCTGTCCCTAACAGATTGCAAGTTCCCTGTGGGAGTGGGATGAAGCAGGCTTAACCTTGTTGTGCGGTTACCTTGTCACGCTTAATGCTGGCAGGGTCCAAGGCTTGGAGAGTGCCCTGCCGACTCCCCATGCAGCTAGGGTTGGTCCAC